ATGCGCACACGGAGACTGAATGTCACGCACGCTTTCCATTCTACGCTTGTTGAGGAATCTCTTTTGCAGGAACTGAGGAAGCTCGGGGAAAGCATCTCCTTCTCGCAAGCCTCGATTCCAATGGAAAGGGCAACTGAGACGGCTAATGAGCCTCTTACATCCAGCTTCTTTGCACAGCATATGCGAAACCCGGTCTATTTCGACCATGCAATTCAGCGACTGGCGATGAAATACCCCTCTGCCATATTCCTGGAGGCGGGCTCTAACTCGACCATCACCGGAATGGCACGTCGGGCCCTTGGGGTGCCGGCTGAGTCTCACTTTCAAGCTGTGAATATTACCGATGGGGCTCAAGGCCTGAACAACCTCACTGATATGACCACCTGCCTTTGGAAAGAGGGCCTAAATGTTACCTACTGGCCGCATCACAGATCACAGACCTATGACTATGGTCCCATACTAATGCCGGTCTATCAATTTGAGCGAAGCAAACACTGGCTGGAGGTGAAGATACCGCAAGAGAAGGTGTCCGACATAGCTGAGAAAATTCCAGATGAGCCTATTCCCGAGTGTCTTTACACATTTGTTGGATACCAGGACCCCAAGCAGCGTTTGGCTCGGTTTCGGATCAACACCGCAACTCAAATGTTCCGGAACCATCTCAAAGGTCACACAATCGCACAGACAGCCCCCATTTGTCCTATGACGCTGGAAGTCGACATGGCTATTGAGGCCCTGGGGAGCTTGCAGCCGGCTCTCCGAGACCCGAAACATATTCCTCGAGTCCACAACATTCAGAGCAAATCTCCTTTGTGCGACGATTCTTCTAGAGCAGTATGGCTTGACTTGAGAGAAAGCGAGGGAAGTGCTCGTGGTACTGCTTGGGAATTCTGCCTGGCAAGCTCGGGTGAATCCGGCTCCGCGAAGACCGTGCACGTTTCGGGCGAAATCACATTTGGCTTGACTGAAAGCCCCGACGCCCATGCTGAGTTCGCTCGATATGGGCGCCTCATTGGTAACCATAAGCGCTGTCTACAAATTCTCAATTCATCCGACGCAGACGACATCATCCAAGGACGGAATATCTACCGGGCGTTCTCTGAAGTTGTGGATTATGGTGTTGAGTATCAAGGCCTCCAAAAGCTGGTCGGCAAAGGCAACGAATCTGCTGGCCGTGTGCTCAGGAAGCATGCCGGAGAGCGCTGGCTCGATATGCATCTTTCGGATTGCTTCGCCCAGGTGGGTGGAATCTGGGTAAATTGCATGACAGACTTGCATTCTAGCGAGATGTATATCGCAAATGGACTGGAACACTGGCTTAGATCTCCTAAGACGGGATCCAGGTATGGCCAGGTCGAAGCATGGGATATCATCGCCCGCCATCATCACCTTGAGGACGAGAAGGCGTATATGACTGATGTCTTCGTCTTCGACTCCGCCACGGGTGAGCTGGCAGAAATCATGCTGGGCATCAAGTATACTAGGGTTTCAAAACAAGCAATGAGTCGAATGTTGACTAGACTAACTCCTCGTTTGGCGACCAAAGCCTCCACGCCTCTAGAAGTGGCTCCCCCGGTTACTGCCGGCATCGACACTGTCAGTGCAGCAATCTCGGCGAAGATCAGCCCGGCACCTAAGCCTCAAATGCTGGTCGATCTCCCTTCCTCAGATATAGATGTATCAAGAGGCGTCAAGGCGGTACTGGCAGAACTGTCTGGCCTTGACGCTGTTGACATCAAAGACAGCACCCAGCTCTGCGACATCGGCATCGACTCACTCATGAGCATGGAGATGGGTCAGGATTTGGAACAAAAGTTTCACTGTTCGATTCCAATGTATGACCTGGCGGATCTCACAACCGTGCGTAGCCTGGTTGACTACATCCGTGGCACTGTTACAGCCATTTCGTCTGAGGATGATCACTCATCGTCGGCGGGGTCGGTCTGTGACGTGTTTTCCGACTCTGCAACTACTGTATCCAGCGACTTGGATGTCTCGATAGCCGGTGGATTTGGCGCGTTCCTTGCCGAGTTTCTGGGTGTAGTTGAGCACGAAATCAGGAATGATATTCCACTCGGAGAACTTGGAGTCGATTCGCTTCTCTCCATGGAGCTGTCCGCTGACCTGGAGTGTAAATTCGGCCTACACTTTCCCCATGGACAGATCCTACAGGAGCTTACGGTCACAGACATTGAGCGCAGGATGAACAAGTCACTACCCACGACTCCGGGGGTTTCTACCCCTAGCGAGCTCGCAAGCCCCACTCCAGCCCCAGAGACCGCGAAGTCCTATTTCCCGGATCGAGACCTCCAGTTGCCGTCCGAAGTTGTCATAGACGCCTTCACTGAAGTCAAAGATCTTACGGACGAATACATTGCTGAGTTCAATGGTCTAAATTACATGCAGAGTATCAATCCTACACTGGCGCAGATGTGTGTTGCCCTGATAGTTGAGGCTCTCGAACAGCTTGGATGCTCTTTGCGCGCTGCCGTTTATGGTCAAGTCTTGCCACGAGTCGAATACCTACCCAAGCATGAACGTCTGGTTGAGTATATCTACCAGGTTCTGCAGAACGAGGGTAAATTGGTCAAAGTGGAAGGCAACACTGTTCTTCGAACTCACGCACCCGCTCCTGTCGAGTCCAGTGAGAGTATTTTGAACAGACTGATTCAGGATTACCCTGATCATACCAAGGCCCACCAGCTAGCCTATTTCACAGGCAGGAGACTGGCCGACGTGCTCAGCGGAAAGGCGGATGGTCTTCGGCTGATCTTTGGCAACGAAGAAGGTCGCCAATTAGTGTCTAGTCTGTACGGGGACTTCTTGTTTAACAAGTTGCACTACAAAATGATGGATGATTTTCTTCGGCGGCTGATTGAAAGACTTCCTTCCAGCGAAGGACCCTTGAAAATCATGGAGATGGGTGCTGGAACGGGAGGCACCACCAAGCAGCTTGTGCCGGCTTTGGCCCGTCTGAATATTCCGGTTGAATATACCTTTACCGACATCTCGCCATTGTTTCTTGCCAGCGCTCGCAAGGAATTCAAGCAACATCCGTTCATGAAGTTCCGGGTGCATGATATTGAAAAAGCGCCCGCCGATGATCTGCTAAGCAGTCAGCATATCATCATCGCGAGCAACGCTGTTCATGCTACTCGCAGCTTGACGGAGTCGACCAAGAACATTCGGAAGGCGCTGCGGCCCGATGGCTTTCTTATGATGCTGGAGATGACACAACCTCTTGTTTGGATCGACATGATCTTTGGTCTGTTGGAAGGATGGTGGCTGTTTGATGACGGTCGGCGCCACGCGGTAGCCGATCCTGTACGATGGGAGACTGCCCTCCACGCTGCGGGATATGGCCAGGTGAACTGGACGAATGGAAATTGCCCCGAGGTCGGGATCGAGCGCATCGTGGTCGCAATGGCTTCCCAAGGGCCAAGGTATGAACATCGCCACTGTTCCTTGCCGCAATCTCCAAGCCCACCTGCTGACGCCGACTTGGTGACTCGACAGGCAGTAGTGGATGGTTACATTCGGCAATATACTCAGGGCTTCAGCGCTAAAGTCCCCGAGGCATCAAGGAAGAAACCTTCATCTGGAGCCGTGATACTTGTGACTGGGGCCACCGGGGGTCTAGGCTGTCAGCTGGTTAGCCACCTCGCGCATCAATCCAACGTTGCTACTGTGATTTGCCTTAATCGTCCCGCCCGCAACAGCAAGACACCATCAGAGCGACAGCACGAAGCCCTATCCACGCGGGGGATCACAATGGGCTCCCAGGTGCTTTCAAAACTTCGGATCCTCGAAACTGATACATCCAAGCCCTTCCTCGGTCTATCCCAAGCGGAGTATGCTCAGCTCGCTTTGAAAACCACGCACATCATCCACAATGCTTGGCCCATGAGCGGCAAACGGCCTGTTGAGGGCTTCGAGCCGCAGTTTCAGGTCATGCGCAACCTTCTTGACTTCGCTAGTTATGCCTACAGTGGCTCCAAGATCCACTTTCAGTTGATCTCCTCAATTGCCACGGTCGGTCATTATCCTATCCACACCGGCAATCCTAACGTACCTGAGTCGCGACTACCTCTACAATCCGTTCTGACCAATGGGTACGGCCTCGCCAAGTTCATCTGCGAGCGCATGCTGGACGAAACCCTTCACCGCTACCCGGACATGTTCCAGCCCATGACCGTCCGTTTAGGGCAAGTAGCAGGGTCACGAGTCAGTGGATACTGGAATCCGCAGGAGCATCTGCCTTTTCTTCTTAAATCCTCACAGACGCTCGGGTGTCTCCCGAATTTGAGGGGAACTGTCTCGTGGACGCCTGTTGAGGACGTGGCGGCCACATTGGGGGATCTACTCCTTTCGGGCGAAGGAGTGGAGATGGCAAACAGATATCCGGTCTATCACATTGAGAATCCTATCGGACAACCATGGGAAGATATGATCCCCTTGCTGGCTGAAGGTCTGCGGTTCAACCCGGCACCAGCCCGCCTGAAGGAGGGGCAAGACTCGAGCAACAAGAATGGAACCATCACTACCGTGCCCTTCGAGGAATGGATCCGTCGAGTCCGAACATTCGCTGGACCAAGTGACGAGAACCCTGCCTCTTTGATGGTCGATTTTCTGGAGGAGCACTTTCGTCGCATGTCGTGCGGGGGACTGAGGTTAGAGACAGTGCGGTGTCGTGAGCATTCAACCACGCTAGCGGGGGTTGGGCTTGTGGATGTTGAGGTGGTGAGACAGTATCTTCAAAGTTGGAAGAAGATGGGATTCTTGAGGTAATTTCTGTCTTCTTTGTTAAGGGTTAAATCTGTCAAACTGCATTTGCTTTGATTGTCTGCTTGTTAGCGTTCATGAAGGAATATATGTATTTTGTTGCAAAGGAGCTTTTTCACTATAGGTCAATAATCATTTGTTCAATAGCTCTACGAAGCGATAATGGAGTTCACGAAACCGTTTCCCCTACGTTCAACCCACCGTAATACTACGATAATCTACGATTCTGGCTCGCTGGGGTCATACACTTCGATTTCATCATCATAGCCCTCCTCGTTGGGATCCTGGGATTCCTCGGAGTCAGAATCGGTCTCCTCCTCATCCTCGGCATCCAAGCCCTCAATTCTGTTCCCGTCTTCATCGAGACGGAACAGGCCTGGGCGCCGATCCACCCACGGCAAATCGGGATCGTACAGCTCCATCCCACTCATGAGGGCGGTGTACGTTGCGTGCAGCGACTCCGGCAAGCCGCTGGGCAGGACTGGGAACGGGGACTGGGGCATCATGGGGGTGCCCTTCAACTGCTGGTACATCAGCTGGGCGCGGTTGATGCGGCGCCGCGTGAACAGCCAGTCGTACTCGCGGTCCGTCTTGCAGTCGGGGGCCAGGATCTCGTCCTGCAGCAGCCGGCGCATCTCCGGCCGGAAGGCGCGGGTCCGCAGGCAGGCGGGCCTGGCGCGTCGGGCCAGATCGCAGAGCAGGTCGAAGGTCAGCTCCCAGGAGGTGCCGCGGGTGTCATCCTCCCGGCTCCGATCGCGCCAGTGCAGCAGCAGCATCCCCTCGAGGTACTGCGCCGGCTTCATCACGCGCACCATCCGCGGCAATCCGCTCCCCCTCTCGTCTTGGGTATCTGGGTCGTCCACCTCCGCACCCACCATGGTATAACACTCCCACTCCCCATCCTCGCGCCGATCATGCCGGAAGCGCGGACACGGCATGTGCCAGAAATACTGCTCGTGCGCGAACAGCCGCACCATGACCACGTGGCCCGGGTGCTCCACGCTGTCCGGGGAGTCGGGTTCCGGGCCCCGACTCCAGAGCCGATGGTCGCGGGCGGCGATGTAGGCGCCCCGCGCCACGAAGAAGACGTGCGCCGGCGCCCACCATGCGTCTTCGAGGCGGTAGTCCCGGTCCGCCGGCCAGTAGCGGCTCGGCCCCGAGGGCCACTGGTGCATGCACGCGAGGGTGTCGGTCACGCTGCGCGGTCTATCGTCTAGTCCTGCGGCTTGCAGCACGGCGATCGCCCCGCCCATTTGGTGGCCTGCGATGTCGAGGTCGATGCACGGGTCCATGAAGAGGTCGTCCTGCCAGTTGAGGGTGCGGAAGAGCGCCCGGTTTAGGAGCGCTACTGGGATGTCGTTGTGTTCGAGGTGGGCGGTTAGTCGGTGTAGCCATGGAAGGGTGATCGGGTCTCCTGGGGTGTAGGTGAATGGGGGTGAGGGAGGGGGGTTGCGGTGGGGG